CGCACCCCAGGCAGCCGCGCAGCGCCACCCACACCCCCACCCACCCCCACCCCCACACCCCACCCACCCCCACACCCACACCCACACTCACACTCACACCCACACCCACACCCACCCACACCCACACGCACACCCACACCCACCCACACCCACACACCCACACACCCACACACCCACAAGTTGTTTAATTAGACGTGTTATTTTTCATCAATGACAGTTGATGAATATTCACACATTCTGTTGTCAATATGGCAAGTTTATTTTTGCCGATCAAAGTGGCTTGAAGAGGTTTTGGAGTATAATTCTCCTTTTTGATGATATCTCCATCTTCAGAAATATGCCAAAGTTCTGATTGATTTGGATTAACCAATATCCATTGATTATTGGTCAACGCGCAACATCGAAATGGATACGAGGAATATTTTAAATCGATTGGTATTGATTTTTGTCGTTCAAGTGTCGTCAATGAACATAGATCAAGACGTACTTCATTTTGTTGTTTAATAATCATGAGAGCCAAGAGAATATTATTTGATGACATATGACAAATAAACTCGTCTTTTTCACATGAAACTGGTGATTGATATTCTTTGACAAATTTAATACTTGGACTAAGTGTGTACTCGTAGATAGATGTACCTTCTACTGATGTCGATAAAAATAACGTTTTATCTGAAGTTGCGCCACACCACCAAGGGTAGTCTCTACGAGCATATCCAATCGGAAAAGTCTCTACATGTGTACCTTTCTGCTCTACAGTAAGAAGGTGAATACCTTCTATAGCAACAATGATAAATTTCTTGAGTGTACTAGACCAGAACATATCACAAACGTAACCGTCATCCCATAAACGTCCTTTATGTGGATTACGGTATTGATTCATTAAATAGAATGCTCGAATTTCTTCTAATGCAATATATTCCTCGTTAGTCGCTATGCAATACCATTCACCAGTTGTTCCTTTTATTGATTCATGTGGAGAAGTTAACTGTAACAATTCTTCTGATTGTTTTGTTGTTTCCTTTCGGGTAAAATCGAATTCTATAGAAGGAAAATCAAAGTAACTGCATTGTTCTTCTAGTTTTTCAATGGATTCGAAAAAATTGTTAATTCTTTTATTATTTGCTTTCGATAGTAGGTCATATGATTTTTTTGTTCCCCATCGTTTTTGATCTCTTTCGTTGTCCGACCAATCTGCTTCGTATTTTTTTCGACGATCGGCTTTCCAATATGACAAATCAATTTCGGATTTAATGCAAAATTGTTTGTGTTCATTAGTTATTTTGAGAAGTTTATAAGTTATGTCAATAATGTCTGCTTTTAATTTCATTTGCTTATCATCATAGATCTTCTCCGAAATTTCCTGTCTCTTTATACATCTTTTAAAGAATTGATTGATTAATGGATATTTTGGAATAGAATCATACCACGTAAATAGCTGCACAAGGAAATTAGGCATTGGTTCAGAGTTCTGCTGAAATTTCTTATGAAGTTGATGGATTTTTTCTGTAATTTTGTCGATAAGAAAGTCAAAAATCTGGCAATGCTCAACAATATGATATTGACAGAAGTAATTCTTACAACAGTTACAAAGAATATCAGGCCTGGATCGATCCCAACTATGACACTCGATACAACAATTCCTATAATCTGGTCTAAAACCTGACATTGCTAAATGTTTATCATCAGCTGATATTTGAATTGGTACTTCACGTAATATCATATCTTCATTACTGGAATTTATCCGTTTTTCAACAGCAATAAATGCCGTATAGGGACTAAGAATATTGTATTTTAGTGATAATTTGATAATTTGTTCTTTAATATTAGTCTTTTCTGTTGATGACGAATATTTCGAATGTTCTAATTCAAGAATAAGTGCTTTGGCAGCTAGTCGTGCTATTGTGCCATCATTGCTTACGTTTGGCACACGATTAATGTTCACAAAACCTAATCGATTTGTTCCTAAACGTATTTCAACACTAGTCTCATGATCAAATGTTGACATTGGATTTTCAAGAAGTGCATAAACATTGAGACGATCGCTACCAAAAATCACTGGAATTTTCGATGGAACACTTATGAATGATGTATCCAAATTCCACTTGATTTCAGCATTGGTAATTGCTGATTGCATTGATTTTTGTAGCTGTTCATACACGTAATGATCAATATAACTTTTCGGTGGAATAAAAACGAAACGACCATTTGTTACTCGAGCAAGACCTTTGACCAGTGCACGACTTGGTGAATGACCCAAACCGAATGAAAATATTCGTGTTGAAGTTGACATCGAACGACATAGATTAAGTACTTCATCGACATTGGAAATTTCACCATCGGTAAGGAGAAATATTTGTCGTGCACTACCTTCCTTTGGGAGATCGCGGTAAAGCGAATGAAGAGGAGATAACTATTTAGAAAAACAAATAATGAATAACTGCTCAATCAAAATAGAATGTGATCGAACTCACCAATTCTGTACCTCCCATGTTTGCCTTCATAGTTTTTACAAACTCTCTAGCCTTCCAACAATTCTTTTCATCATTTAAAGATCGACTTCTTTCGAATAGTGACTCATAACGTGTTCCGAATCGGATGATATTCATATAAGAGTCGTGAGGTAGACTATTGACAAGAAACTCCATTGCCCGACATACTAATCCAATCTTATTCTCATCTTCCATCGAGCCACTGCAATCAACAACGAAAATAAATTCATTAGCTACTGTAGTATTATTCACCGCACGTTGACATTCTTCATTAGTAGGTGTAAACGAAGCCATTATAGCACCGGATTCAACAGCTAAAATTGTATTCGAATGATTTTCGACTAATTCAATATCAATGATAATGTCCCGATCTAAATGAGTATTTTCTTGAGCAAATTCAATAACATAAACATCTGATTGATTGAGATCAATTTGAATTGGATGAGACGGTGAAGAAACACGAGCAACATTATTATTTTCTATTCGACAACAAAATTCGATTGTATATGGACTTTGTTGAACATATTTTGATGTTGTATTTGCTGGAGAACTGATGCTACCCACGTTTGAATTATAACGAGGAGCAATTGTTGTCGGAATAACAAAACGAATTGTACTTCCATCTTTAACCAGATCTAATTCGGATACATATGAGATTGAAATATGACATTCTTTACCCGATGGTAGTGCACCAACGTTAACGATAAAATTGTCTTGAGATTTTTCATCTTGTTCGAGTAAATAAGCACCATGACCATGTCGAAGAGCATCATTATATTCTCGTTGTGCTTCATTTTTCTCTTTTAATTGAGCGACAATTTCGCGATCGTCAACACGAGCAACAAATTTGTAGATACTTGCTTGTTCTTCAATTGGAAAACAATACACTGCTTCAATATGACATTCTTCGTCATTATGAAAAACTTGTTGAATAATGACATCGGCTGCAAATGATCGTATGTAGGCTTCGATATTGACTCGTTTTAATGGCACATAATGGGGATTTACAGATTCATGTTCTATTGAAAATCTATTTTGTAAAATTTTTAACATCTTGAAAAAAAAACTTTCCTTGTCATTTCAATCATAATAAACGGTATTCATATGATGTATGGCAGGACATTTTATAGGCCACAAAAAAAATGAATCAGTATGAAAATTTCTCAATTTGTGACAAAATAGTCATGAAAAATTCTCTTTATCAGACGAAACAAAAGTCTCATGTGGAAGTGTGATGGTTGGGTAAGAATTACATGAACTTCAGACTGAACTCTTCTCATGATTTGTCTTTAAAACCCGAAATTCTATGAATATCTGACACAATTTATACTGCTTAACATTTTGTCATCTTATTGAACAGAATCACAACTTTATGTTTTGATCTAAATCCGTGTTAGTAATGTGTACTTTTAAATGAATAGGATAGGAGGGTGGTTGCCGGAATAGAGAAAATCCATTCTCTCATACATATTTATACCTACACTCTCAGCTTTTACTTTCTACGTCATGGTTTATAAACCAGATTCGAAATGATGAAAGGTATTTTTAGAATTTCTGTTTTTCTTACCATCTCTCTTCTTTTGCGTTTTTACCCTGGGATTTTCTCTCTATTCTTCACATGTACATGAAGTTCGTGTAAATACTGGGCAATAAATGACTGATGTGGGAGAAACACAAAGAAGAGCAATCATTTTCGGTTTTAATATTTACTTAGGAGGCAAACATTGACGATAGAAGACTTTTTGATTGCATTTCATTCTTCCATTCTCTTCTCTGTTCGATTTGATCCCACGAGTTCGTTGCTTTTTAACAGCATCATGGATTTCTTTGTAGAAACAGGAACATTCGAGATGCTCTTGTTCATATTCTAATAGGATGTGGGAGTACTAATGGAAAAGAGAGACTCACCCACACCCTATGAAGAGTTCAATACTACTAAAAAAAATTTCAGTGAAGCAGTGTAAAAGCGAAAAATGAACACGTCATCTCAAGAACGAAAGAAAAAAATGTATTGATGTATGTTGCACAACTCTCTTTCATCATGTTTTTACCGTTAGTTTTTCCCCACATATTTTGTCCACATCTTTCTCTACTATTCTGTATAAAAGGATGCCGTATTGGTAGAATAGGTAAGTTTTCATTTCGCTGATTTTAACTATTCGTAAGTAAAATAGAACAAAAGCTTTCTTTAAGTATCGTTCGAGAAATCTTTTCGAAAGATTTCCTGCGAAGTCTAACTTGGGTCTATTAATCGAATGTGTACAAACCCTCTAGGAGAAGGCCGAAAAACACGTTTACTCTGCAATCGCTATATAGATTGCGGGAAACTATTTTTAGTCTGTTTAAGTATCTTACATCCAAATTCAAATCATGTCGAAACCCACCACATTACATTATTCATTCTTTTCTATCATGATTACTACCGACAAGAGAATGAATGTGGTGAGATTATATACACTCTACACCATCATCTTCTTATTTTTCATAATGATTAAAGAAGCAAAAGCATTACTTTTTTTTACAGGTGCATAGTCGATTGCAAGTAATAAAATAAACTACAAGAGGCAACAACAAACAAAGAAATATGTCTGGCACGTCAACATCTTCGATAGAAGGTCAGTTCGTTGCAAATAATTTTTATCTAAAATCAAACGATTAACTTATTCTTTTTTTTTTTTTTACATTGATTCTATGTATCAATCCGCAATACGATTGATACTAGAACTTCTTGTCGCAGGACAAATCATTGCATGAACAAAATTTTATAATCTAGGATTGGATTTCGTGGGTGTTGATGTAAGTAGAACACTCGGTCTGGGCGTGTGGCTGTGAACCTGGATACTGATTTGATCGTCTATTCATTCAACTACTGCCACAGTCCTACCCGCACCCACAACCACATCTACCCTCAAAATTTGTCCTGCTATGAAGAGTTCGTTCACCATACGATTCAATAAGACACCGAATTCAATGGTGCTATCGATGGTGGGAGGTCGTGAGTTAAAGCAATATATTCATACCTATACCCTAATTAGTTGTTCTCCCTTGAGGACAAGTATTATTTCTTAAGCCATAAAAGACATCAGGATCGTTTTGATTTGCAATCATTAGGATAAATAGAGAAAAACCTAAATTCTAGTAGGTCATACCCTGTAGAGCCAACGGCAACACCGAATCCTATGAGTTTCACACAACGACTAGATATCTTTAGAGTAATAGCAGTTACCAATGTCTTCTACTTATTTATTTAGAAGATAAACAATTCGCTGCTCCAAATACTTACCGTAAACTTCGTAAAAATTATTCAATGCTTATTAGTCAAACGAATGAACATATGTAACTTAAGATACTTGTTTCATAGAGAGCAAAGTAAATGAACAGAACTTTTGCCATGGTCGTTCTAACTATTCATGTTTTATGTCAATTCTGATCCAATAGGAAATTTGTCGATATTTTTCTTGGTATGTAATCAGTGAACAAAATCATCCTAAGGAATTTTTATCTGTCATATAATCTTCACTGGTCAAATCAACATCAGTGATTTATCTTTCATTGAACAAGACTCTTGAATCGAATGTTTGCAGTAGATGTGGCAAGTGTCGTTATAATTATTCTTGTTTCATATGATTTCTAAGAGACCAATCAATTTGAAGCATTTACTTGAAAATGAGAGGAATATTAGCGAATGGAATTCTGATTTAATAGATGTATTTCCTATGTCGTCTTTTCGATTTTTATTAATACAGTAGCTTCGTTTTGAAGCAAGGGAAATAGACGGCTATAGTCATTGGTACATTATTGTTCATTTGTCATAGAATCTTTGATTAATGCATCGTATAGAATGCATAGTTTTGAAATATGTGGTATATTTTAAGAGAACCATTATTCAAATCATTCATGTGTCATACGAATATCTATGATTTATGAAACTGATATATTCAATTAAAAATCGATAAAATAGATCAAGCGAGTCTACTGGTGATGTGAATCATTCATGTTATCTATAATTCGCGAAAAGTTTGATAATGTTAAGGTTTCAGACTTCTTGTATATGAATTGATGAATGAAATCCTTTAGCAACTTAGGATGATTTATTTATATTGAGATGTTCAACTAACATTTTGAATGCATAACTTATGCCTCAGTGTTCGTAAAATTAACGAACAAAACTTTTGGAAAATATTTGTGAATTATATATGTGATCGTTGATTATAAGAAATGAACAGTATTTCTTTCAAATATGAATAAAATTAATGGACATAGTCGGTGGATTCGTTGTGGTCATGCATAAATCGTTAAATCTTTGGTCATCTGACTAAATTAAAATCTTTGTATTTTATAGTGACCAAAATAAAAGACCAAAGTATTAATTGTGATAGTTATTATTGTTTATTTATTTCAACATCTTTCAAAATTACATGATCTTAAAATTCTACTGTTGATATATTCAATATTGTTGAAGAATTTTATTGAACTGAACAAGATTTTGATTATTCAACTTCGATGAAATTTTCAATCAGAAATTAAACTTGAATACTTTCTCGGATAATATTGAAACATATAGTTAGTGAATCAGATTATTGGGACATGATTATTTATTTATCATATGATTCTTAAACACGGATTGATGATATTCACTTTGAAATCAATGAAATAAATGAATAAAATCTTCGTTATTATAATAGATTTTTCTCATGATCTTCGATCGAAAAAACATTAGAAATATTTATTTGCACATATACAGAAATAGATGAACGACAACATTGGATGTTGTTCATTTACTTATTACAAAGTATTTTCTAACCAGAGAAATCACCAGATCCAATGCAATGTGAATGATAAAACTAGATGAAACTCCAATGATGAATATTCATCAACTGTAAGACAGTTTATTTATAGTATGAATGAGTAATATTCATTACGGAATAAAGAACATAAATAAATATGGTATTGATGAGAATACTTCTTTTCACATACGATTTTGAATCGATTTAGTGACGTCTCATCTGTGATTCGAATATTGAAAATATATGTGAACGAAAATCTCGTCTTTAAAATCGTTCACTTGCCATCACCGCTTGATTGAATCATCGAACGACAATCTTTAATTTCATTCTTAAAATGAAATGAAAACAGATCCATTGGGAGCGTTGTCATTATTCGATGCAAATTTAATCTTTAACTAATCTTACGGTTTCACTAGATGTGTTTCAAACAGAATTTAAAAAGTGAATATCACCATTTCAAGTGTTATTGCTAATCATCAATCTTGCATACTTGATCAACTATGTTCAATGTATACATTTCAGATCAACATCTGTAAAATAAAGAAACAAAGCATTCGTTATAAAAGTTTATTTTACATATGACGATGAATCAACATGAGTTCTGCAAACACAATGATTCACTTTCAATAAAATAATCAAATGCCACAATGATTAAAAATATCCATGTTTTATGTATATTTCAATCATGTAAGTATAGTAACATATTACTTCGAAGTTTAAAAACCCGATGAACGTACGATTGGTGCAACATGTTTAGAGAAAGCCTCTGTCATGTGATCTTTTATCATCAAATCAAATCCAAAGGTTTGTTTTCAAGAATATGAAACATGTAAACAGATCTGTCGTTAGGTAAATCATCTTCCATGTCATCTGTCATCGTTTGACTAGCTTAAATCTTTTCTTCGAAGTGAATCAGAGATACGAATACACATTTGGTAAGACAATACATATCCTATGTAATCTTTGAACATGGGATCAACTCCAAATCTTTACTTGAAAGATAACATAGCTGATGAACATAACTCTCGTAATACAATTTATATGTCAATTGATCCTTCAACACACTCATCAACTCGAAAGATTTTATTTCAAACGAACGAAATAATTGAATATAAATATTATAACATAAATTCATATTCCATGCCATTTTCTATAAATGATCTTGTTTGAAAGGTTTGTTACCAAATGATGACGACGACGATAACATGTGAACAGAAATATTATTATGAGAATTCACATACAATGTAGTCTTGAACAATATGTTAC